GATAGGATGCGGCGCAAGTGGGCCCTGTAGGTTTCAACTGATACACGAAGTTGATTTAGAACAAATTGTTGCTTGTGGAACCTCCTTGAATCATTTACGTTTAAGCTGTTGTGATTCTGAAATGTATTCTTTTGTGTTCGTTAAGAACTTAAGAATCATATGTTGGATTGGGTTTGTTAGGGCCATGACATCTCCATGAGCTATTGGCATATAGGATCATTCTTATGGGTAACTCTGAAATTGTTTTGTGGTGCTTTGCACATGGTTGTTTTCATGTGCATCTCTGAAAGCCGCCGTGACGTTAGCACGGGCACTATACTAGTGTATTAATAACACAGGAAAAGGCCCAACCAATGAAATTAACAGGCATATTTTCCCCTACAAACATCTTTTTTTTAGGAGGCGTAAGTTTTTAGCCAAAGGGGATCCCTCACCTTTCTCGCCGGTGCGAACTGTGGAGCTTCCGGCGAAACGGCGGCGACCTCCCCCCACCCCCCTCACCGGCCTCACGCACGAGTAGGGATGAAAACGGATCGGATACGAACGGATATCACTCATATTATATTTGTTTTCATATTTCTGTTCGGATTCGGATTCGGACACGGATAGCGTTCGGATACATATACGAATACGGATTGACTCGGTTACGGATACGAATAATGAGTATCGAATACGGTATGAATCGGATTCGGAGAAGGTCGGATACAAATATCTATTCGGATATTGAGTAAAAGCAGTATATATATATATATCATACGTGCGCAAACCATTACACCACTCTATGAGTCCATAATCCATCTAGATTAAGCCGAAAGACTAAAGAGTAAAGCAACAAATAAGATAAAGATACAGATACATCATACATCAAACATCATATAAGCACTAATCTTCGCGGCATGAGTAGAAATAGCCAAGCACATTGCTTCATGGGTCTCATGGAGTCATGGTCATGGATTCAAGATCTACAATCCTTATATAGGCCATTTTTTCATTTTGAGAAAGTTTGAACAAAATGTAGTTCAAATTTCACAAGTGTGTGACATAGTTTTAGAAAGTCTGTATGAGATTTAAGAATTTGTGACTAGTGTTTGATAAAACTTTCTCAAATGGAAAAATGAGCTATGTAACAATTGTATATCTTGCTGAGATGATCAAACTTGGTATTCAGAGTTTTTTCATCTGAGGTCATTTAGTGTCTCATTTGAGCAAGTTTGACCAAGTCAAATTTGGTCAAATGAAAAAACAACACTTTGACTCTAGTATTATGAACTCTAAATGACTTCAAATTGAAAAGTTTTGAATACCAAGTTTGTTCAACTCATCAAGATCTACAATTTTTGTTTTGGTCAACTTTCCATTTGAGATAGTTTGTACGGTTCAAATTTGTGATTTTTAAATTTCGACGTGTACAAACTAGTTTTCGGAACCCTAGATTGTCTCAAATTGAAAAGTTTTGAATACCAAATTTGTTCATCTCATCAAGATATACAATCCTTATATAGGTCATTTTTTCATTTGAGAAAGTTTGAATAAAATATAGTTCAAATTTCACAAGTGTTTGACATAGTTTCAGAAAGTCTATATGAGATTCAAGAATTTATGACTAGTGTTTGATAAAACTTTCTCAAATGGAAAAATGAGCTATGTAACAATTGTAGATCTTGCTGAGATGATCAAACTTGGTATTCAAAGTTTTTTCATCTGAGGTCATTTAGTGTCTCATTTGAGCAAGTTTGACCAAGTCAAATTTGGTCAAATGAAAAAACAACACTTTGACTTTAGTATTATGAACTCTAAATGACTTCAAATTGAAAAGTTTTGAATACCAAGTTTGTTCAACTCATCAAGATCTACAATTGTTGTTTTGGTCAACTTTCCATTTGAGATAGTTTGAATGGTTCAAATTTGTGATTTTTAAATTTTGAATAAATATCCGGATAATATCCGTTTTTAAATATCCGGATATATCCGATAATTATCCGGATTATCCGATATCCGCCGGATATCGATGATATTACATCCGTATTTGATATCCGCCTAAGATATCCGTTTTAGTATCCGTATCCGAAAAAAAACCGGATATCCGAGTAACTATCTGAATAAGTGTTCATATTTGTTCGGTCGAACGGACGGTCGAATAAATATCCGTACCGTTTTCATCCATACGCACGAGTGGGAGGGTTGCTCACAGACGCGAAGCCGAGCTGCACTTGACGTCGTGCGTGACTTTGCCACGAGCCGCCACCGCAGAGTCCGTGGTGGCCCATGGGCCATGACAGCCTACCCTGGTGAACGCCGGCCGGACGGTTTACTCCACCCCAACCCCCACTAAAAAAATACAGTAAATATCTCAAGTTTATAACCAAATATATAATATAAAAATAAAATACTAATATTATAATATTGAATAAGTATAGTTAGATAAATCATATAACATATTTATTAGTATTATTTTTTTACAAATCTAATGAAATTTAAAATGATTGATTCCTTAGAAAATAGAATGTGTACTCCTTTTTTAATGAACTATGGACCTGTAGTCAATTTACCTCCTTTACATTGGTTAGATGCTTCTATAAAAATATTGAAAACCTGTTTCTGAGACATGAACTACGATTTGCAAATAATTACTTATATTCAGAAAAGATACATGGGCACGATGCTTCGTGCATGAAAGCATTTATGGGTTCCTCAAAAGTAGTTCTCCTTCACCTACTAATAATTTATAAATTTTGGAAAGAGAAAAGTCCGATGATATTTTTTTTGACGGGGGTGGAACGTCAGTTTAAAATCCTGTCAACGTTCAAAAACTTTTTAAACATAATGACAGCTGTCACCATTAAAATAACTGGTAATAATAATTTAAATCAGAAAGTGCTAGAAAAAGAAAGAAAGAAATGAGAGATACTAATTGACTAATTGACCATCACATTTCACACTCATGTCGACAAGGCAATTCTCGGTGCAAATTTCAGAAATGCTTGCAAATCAAGTGGGTGGGCAGATTAGTTGGTGCGTGACAGTTAAGTGTATTGTTCAGATTTTTGCTAAAAACAATATTAAAAATGTGGTTTACAGGCAGCCTTTTAGATCCTATCCTACTCTTAAAATAACATAGTTATGTCAATAAAGGACAGAGCAACATCATCATCCGCTCAAAGCATAATGTGGCAGCATATCCACCATATTTCTTGTAGAAACATGCATACATGCCAATAGTCAACAGCATTAGTTAGCGCAAGCCGCAAGGCAATGATTCTGAGACGTGCCAAGAGGATTTTCTGAAAGAGATGGATCTTGCTGGCTTGCTGACGAAAGGGGAGGAAAAATCCATGTCCATGTTTCGTTTTGTGCATAACTGATGATTACTCAATAGGAGTAGGATAAAGACGCAAGAAGCGTATATACTAAGAGGGCGACGGGGAGAGCAATGGCAGCCTAGGAGACGGCCTGCGGTAGCATGACGGGAACGCCGATCTCCCGCGACTGGACGTCGGCGCCGCCTCCGCCGACAACAACCCGGGGTGCGCCATCTGCCCTGACTCCGCTGAGCCACGGGAGGAAGTGAGAATGTCTATATCACACTTGGGTGTTTTTAGGCAACTAGCACACGAATTTTGTAGAACTTCACGGAATACATAATAGAACATCACACAATATATAATAGAATATCACATAATACATAATAGAACATCAGAGCGTCTATTTGGTAGTCAGGTATTATTCGTATGTTTTTTGGTCAACTAGCACCATGCGAACATCACGAAAAACATCATAGAACATCACTGACCGAGTACCATAGAACATCACATGTATACTATATGAACATCACATGTATACTATAGGAACATCAGAAAAATTCGTGTGTGAGATAGGTGTAAAACACATGGGTGTTGTTTAGCATTCCTGACTAAAACGAAAGCTATCGGCTTCGCCGTACGTTTCATTAGGCTTTAGATTCAGATACATCTAAAGCAAGAATTGATAGTGTGATTCTAAAGGGAAAAAAGAAACAAACTCTTTATGGTGCCCACCGTACGATATTAGAACATTCCATATGTTGATATGCATCGTTCTTTTCCATGAATTTCATACGCTTTTTCGATGAATTTCATACATAAGTACGTAACCTTTTTTCCCGATGAATATACATCTGCTTGGTTAGGTATGGTCCATGATCACCATTGTATGTATATAATGTCAATTGTTAAATTGGGCCTATATTTTTTTTGAACTACAAGTAACTGGGTCTACAATTACGGTATATCGTGTAAAGGTCCGAATATTTGAGAGTACAGTAGTCAAATCTTGATGATTTAACGTTAGTTAGTTTTGGCTAATCATATCTTCCTGCAAAGTTCAAAGTGAATTGGTTAGCTTTTGATCATGGACATATCTTTTCCAAACTAAGAAATTAGTACCACAGTTACAATTTCAATAAATCATTTAGCTTAAACATAAATATTTGCATTGCATGCATCTAAAACAACTCAAAAAATCATCTGAAGAGGAGATGTATGTTAACTACTTACTACTTATAAAATGTGCAGAGGCAAAGCCGGTAAAACCAAAAAAAATTAATTTTATCCTCTGGCTTTATCGGCTTCTAGTTTTAATTTTAAGAAGAGAGATAAAGAACAACTCATCATCGCTACCGTGCACGGAGGAGAGCCGAAGCTCTATCAAATATGCCCATAATAATAACTATAAGATTATAAAAATAAACCTTTTAAGACATCATTATAATATTTACATTCTCAAACTAAATATATTTTAAAAATCATTAAGGGGTGGTATTTGGTCTATTTCTTCACGAGAAAAGGGCAGCCAAGGCCCAAGCGGCCATCACGTTTCAGTGACGTCTCGTTCTCTCAGACATGCTTGTGTGGCGTCGGGGTAGGGGAGCTGCTGCAGCCGCGCGTATGGCGTCTTCTTCCTCCCCCCTCTCCTCCCTGCCGCGGCTATTTATCCCGCCTCACCGAGGGAGCCACGAGGCAGCCATGGCCGCTTCGGCCGGCGCCTCCCAGGCGCTGCGTAACGGCGGCGGGATGCAGATGCAGGTCAGTTGTTCGATGTTCGAAGCTTCTTCGCTTAAGTTCTTCAACCTGCTGTTTCTAGGATCAAATTCTGATCTTTTTGGCTGTTCTTGTCTCTGGTTTGCGCGGGACGAAGGATTTCTTGATGCAGAGGTTGGCTGAGATGGTGTTGTGTTGCGGCGCGGATTGGGGCTGCGTGCCGCAGCTGTGGAACAGGGTGGTGCTGCGCAAGTGGCTCAACATCGGCGCGGGGTCCGGGGACTCCGACTTCAGCGCCGACGAGCACGACACCTCGGAGGGCGAGACCGACCGCGAAGGTTACTTAACTCTTCTCTTTTCTACTTCCGCCCCTCTGTTTCTTGAACGGAATGTTCTGAATTTCTGAATCGATCTGGTTGCTCAAGCTCGCTCTTGTTTGGAGCGAAATCAGGGAGAATTTGGTTTGGAAGTTTGAGAGGTAGGCGTTGAGCCGTTGACGGTTATGCAGAGCAGACAACACAATGTGCAATGAAAATTCTTTCTTGTACGCTACTGTTTGGGCTCTGGTGACTTCTTTTTCTCAACTTCTTTACAACTGGATTAGAAAAATGTCATCTTGAATAATTGGTCAGCTCACGCTGGATTACATTGCTTGTTTGATGATTGCTTTATTAGATTACTGTAATTGTTCATTATTTGCCATCTTTTTGATATGGTATGGATGTTTGATCATATCGCTGTGAATGCTTAACCGTTGTGATGTGCGTAGCTAGCGGCTAGTAATTTCTTCGGACCAGATATTTCTTTTGGTATATTCCACCTTTTTTAAGGAAATCAAGAAGGGTATTAAGAAGTTCACTGTTGCGGTGTTGCCTTTAAAGTTAACTTTTGGCTGTTCTTTTCATCTTTTGGAAAGAAATAAAATATCAGGAATGTTGATGTGACCATCTTCTAGTTGACTTCACTATCTAATGGTTGTTGTGCCCCACATTCTATGAGCTATATATTTTTTTCTCTTTATTGAAAGAAAATCCGCACTACATTTGTATTATTCCTTTTCCTTAGCTTAACCTTTTTTTTGTGAAGATCTTTTTGGATTGTTTTAATAAAAAATCGTAATTGCTGTGTTTTTATGTCATTTGTGCAGACATGTCTGGTTGGAAACATGCACTATGTAACGAAGAAAGGATATTAGGTGGACTGGGTGCAAGCACGGCTGGTAATTTATGAACATATTATGTTTATTTTTTCTAAGAGAATGAGAAACATGCAGAAAATTAGTGCCTACTAATTATGTTTCTCTTTATGTATATTCATCTGTGAGTTGGGTTTAGTTGACTTGTAGACAAGGAAGTAGACACACAATAATGCTGGCGAAATACTTACCTGGCCAGAGAAGATGCTAGTTGAACTATGCAGAGGCAACAGAGTTATTTGCAGTTCATTTACCAAATGGGCAGCTCCTCCGGCCTCAGTTTTGGCCCCAACTTCTTCCACTGATCTTTCTAAAAAGAATTGAAGCTTATAGAATTCTGAATTTACACTGTTCTGATGGGATTTTCTGGTTCTTGTTGGTAAATATTTCAAAATGATTCATGGATGATAATGGACAGAAACATAATCAATGGAAAGTGAGCGAAAGAACTTGAATGCATTTCATTACGTTCAAAAAAAAATGATTGCATTTCAGCATGTGTTTTGATTTACTCTGAAGTTCATTTTTGTTACATTAGGCTTCTGCTTGATTAAGGCATGGGTTGATAGGTTACCTTATGTGCTGACTGCTGACCCAACTGCTTAATCTTCCTTTCTTTTTTCTTCATTTGCCTGCATACTCTGCACAAACACATGTTTGATATAAGGTCTTGGGTTGGCATGTCGCCTTATATAATAATGCAATCATTGATGCTGTAGGTGATGAAATGAATGATGTACCTTACAGGCTTAGAAGGCACAGATCAGAGATCGTTCGTTCTCAGTATGTTGATGTTAGAGAACTCAGGTAATCAACTACAGGTCTTGTCCCCTCATAGTATTCACTGGCTCCTAGTTATGTCATGACAGTACTTTTTCTCTCAGCGTTTCTTTGAATCAAAATGATATTCCTGGTGCTTATTCCTCCTGTTATCCTGATATGTATCATATTGCAGAAGATTAGTAAAATTTTCTAATAGGCTGGAACTAAAAGGATGTATTAGTTTTATGATTATATTCTTTCAGCTAATCTGCAAGTTTAATATGCAGGATTTGCGTAGGGACATGGAATGTTGGAGGCAGATTTCCACCCAGTGACTTAGACATTGAAGAATGGTTGGCTATGGAGCAGCCAGCTGACATTTATGTTATTGGGTAGTTAGCCACTATACAAAATTCAGTTTGAGTGTGACAAACCCATTGTTTTGTTATGGGGCATCAATTAGGGGCCCAGGGGCCATAGGATCAATTAGAGGGATTTGATCAGTTAGAGATAGGAAAAGTCGGCTTGAAGGGAGACTAGAGTATTTGGGGGAATTGGATTGTTTGTTCTTTCTTCCTTTTTTTTTTATTTGGATTGTTTTTGTTCTTCATTCATTCCCTCCTTGGTACATCACCTCCCCTTTGTATAGAGAGGACTCCTGGCCACCTAAGGAAGGCCCAACCAAATCATAACAAATCATATCCAATCCTGATCTCTAATTGACCCAAATCTAATCCTATCTCTAACTGATCAAATCCCTCTAATTGATCCTGTGGCCCCTGGGCCCGTGATTGATGCCCCATAACAAGTTTTATAACTAATTTTAGGGAACATGCACTGGATACTTGATTATTTATTGTATTTAAAAGTTGTTTTGCCTATTACATGCAGTAATAACTATTTAACATGTATCTATGCATGCAAGCTGCTGTACAGATGTTATATGGTAGCTTACAATTTGCCAATGAGATGATTAGTGCCACTCCTTTCATTAATATACTTTTTGCTTAAAAAATAATTTCATTTACCGATTAGGGTCATCTTTCAGATTTCAAGAGATTGTTCCACTCAATGCTGGGAATATATTTGGTGCTGAAGACAGTCGTCCACTTGCAGTATGGGAGCACATCATCCGTGAAACGTTGAATAAGAAATGTTCAGATAAATCAGGGTTTAAGTGCCATAGTGATCCTCCTTTACTATCCAGGTTTAATCCATCAGATGTTGCTCTTTCCATGGAACATGAATTGCTTAGTGAGTCTGATAAAGATTGTGATGGGGAACTTCATCCATTGATTGACCAAGACCATAATTGTGGACTTCAAGATAAAACATATGAGAATCTTGAAGCTTTTCCAGAAGACGATTTAGCCTGTGATGTCATCATTGATAAGAGAGCAAAAAGGAAAAGGCTAGAGTTTGTACGCATAATAAGCAAGCAAATGGTGGGAATATTTCTTTCGATTTGGGTTCGGAGAAGCCTACGGAAGCACATTCAGAATTTGAGAGTATCAACTGTTGGTGTAGGTGCGATGGGTTATATTGGTAACAAGGCAAGTGCCAGATTTGATACTCTTTCCTTGTACTGTTTGTGTGGCTTCCGATTTCCGTGATAACTGGATTATACTTTGTTAGAAACTTAGGATGTTGCTTTTCACATTATGTGGTATTTTCTCCTGATGAGAATCAGGTTTAAAAAATGCATGTTTTGGTATTGGCATTCTTTCTTTCATGGACGCTGAAAAGGCAAATGGAACTTTTAAGGAGAGCTGATTAGCATTTTTCGTTATGTTGTTCCTTTAAGTTTAAAATCTTCAAATTTGATTAGTCACCATGCTATTGTCTCACTCGGTTACTTACCATTATATTCAACATGGATACATATGTCTGTCATCTAATCCAAAATACCTTGTGCTGACATATGTTCCTTCAATATGCTGTAGGGATCAATATCAGTCAGCATGTCTATACATCAGACTCCTTTCTGCTTTGTCTGCTGCCACCTGGCTGCTGGTGAAAAAGATGGAGATGACCTAAAAAGGAATTCAAATGTTGAAGAAATACTTCGAAGAACAGTGTTTAACCCAGTCAATGCTGTAGGCATGCCTATGAGAATACATGACCATGAGTAAGTTGGGTAATCTGCCTTCTGGTAATTTGTGCTATATTCCAAAGCTTGCACTCAATTATCCATGTTTATCTACTGTTATATGACAGGTACACGTACATCTCATGATGACACCCTATTGATGCTATGCCTGATTTCTTATGTTAAATCTCTGTCCTTACTTTCAGACGGATTATATGTTTAGGAGACCTCAACTATCGGATCAACTTATCCTATGAAAGGACACATGAACTAATCTCCAAACAGGACTGGGATGGCTTGTTTGAGAGGGATCAGGTATTTGATGGACTTGTTTATTCATTTTTATTCGTTTACGTTCACATGGTTTCCAGCTCATGCTTCTTCTGTGACAGCTAAAAAGAGAATTGAGGAAAGGATGCACATTTGACGGTTGGTTTGAAGGAGTTATCAGCTTTCCCCCAACATATAAATATGAGTTTGACTCAGAATACTATGTAAGTGATGAGAGTAAATCTGGGAGAAGAACTCCTGCATGGTATGTTGTTCATCTAACTTTTAGATCCATTCTAGTTCATTCAATCGTTCCAGAAATCAGCACTGAGCATGTCATCAGCAATAAGCAAACACTCTCATCTATGTGTGCAGGTGTGACCGCATTCTCTCATTCGGGAAGGGAATCAGGCTACTTTCGTACAAGAGGGGGGAGCTTACACTTTCTGATCACCGCCCTGTGGCTGCAGTCTACGTGGCAGAGGTTGAAGCTTCCCGCCGTAGAAAGCTGCAGAGGGCTCTAACATTCCCTGATGCAGAGGTTGAGGGCCATCTATTATTAGAGAAGGATGGGCTTGCTGAACAAAGAGGTTGTTGAACCACGAGACATGCAATTTCTAGCGCAAGTTCAAAGTGAGGTGGTGCCATTGCCAATGACAGTTTTTAGAACTCGTCAGAGAATGTTCAGTTGCATTAGATAATCTACCATCAGCAGCTTATTTATCATGGATTATTTTTGCTGCACGCTTGTTTGATCAAGAGCATCTCAAGCATCTTGCTTTGATGAAAGCATCACAAGCATTATGCTCCATGACATAGTATCTTTTGAAAAAGTTGCCAAATTTGTTCATAATATTCTTTCTTGTCTTCAACTAGGAAGAGATGGTTCAACTTCTTGTTTTTTGAATATCTTTAGTTAACATCGAGCCTCTGTGTTCTTGCTAGCCTGATACTATTTGTCTAGAAAGTAGAAACTCATTAGATCTTCATAATTGTGTATACTTATTTTTTTTGGGTGTGACTACTGACTATTGTCCTACAACAGTCATTAGAACTTCGAGTAAACGGTCAACTCAGCCGCCAGCCCTCCACAGGGATGGCTCCTCCGCTGTGTGCCGCGGCTCCCTGTGTGTTGAACAAAATCTGATTTCAAACCATAAAAATGGAACAGAAATAAACTAAAGTTTTTGTGGATTGATATTTCCACTAATTCCTTGATTGAACAAGTTCATGGATTTTTTTAGGATGGATACCCAGCAGTAGGATCGATGAGCTCTAATTCTAATCGAGACCACAGCTCAGAATCATGAATCACCCTGATTACGATGAAACCAACAGCACATATAGGTGATTCTATCTAAATATTGTCAGTTGTCACATCACAGCAGAGTGAGACACATATAACATTGCAGTACTCCTAACACAAACTGAACATGCTTTTCATGTCAATCCAGGTGAAAGACTACTGTCTGACATCATATTACTATTGAATGACTAGCATTATGCAAGGGCATTACTTCTCGTCCTTCAAGAGAGATGCAACAAGTGGTGTCTGAACATCGTTGGTTGACCCAATGCAAGTGATGTCCGCCTTCACACTCCACTTTGATGCCACGAGGTAGCCTTTGGAAGGGTCCTTCAGTATCTTGAGTGGAATGAAGTCTGACCAGCCCCATCCAAGATTTCCATTGAACACAAGGCGACCTGCAGTTGCCATCACAAAAGAGCAAAAGGTTAATTCATTCAAGACGCATTGGTAGGTACTCCTAGATGCCAAGAAGAGCTGAAACCTGGACGGCTGTAGTTTTGTCCTTGCTCTTGGTTCAGGATGGACAGGGTCACTTCAAACATCTTCCCGGATTCCTGAGAAAGCTCGGCCGGGTCATGCATTTGCAGGTACATGGAAAGTGAATCTGTGCTGTACTGGTCACCGAGTGGATGCATCTTGATGTGCCTGAGACAGAATGAAGACAATCTATTATGACAATTCATTCATATACTTGATAGGAAAGAAAGTAAAAAAAGGTAGCAGTCATAATTAAGCACCAGAAGTGTTGATTCCAATAAATGACGGGGTGAATTTTCACAGCATATAAGCACAAGACATAAAAACAACCGGGATTAAGCCTGTCAGTCTAACTAGACACGTTAACCTCAATGATACCTTTACAGCAAAACAAGTAATAGCACCAGACGAGTAATACACTAGAAAAGTGGCAAATGCAAACCATTTGTGCCCACAGGCTTCAAATGCGGGAGAAAGGACTGACTCCTTCAAGGCAAGGAAGTTGTTCACGTTCCAGGTGTAATTTCCTTTGATAAATTCCTTCTTCTGCAGAAACAGTTCCCGAATAGTAATAGTATTATCTGGAGCCACAGCAAGGTTGTTTTGAGGAGAGACATCTGCTTGCAATATCCTCACACCAAAGACACAGTTATCATCAACCAGAAAATCAGCTGATTTCAGTAGTTCTTCAACAGTAATCAAGCATTCATTCTTCGAATAGAACTTCTTGGCATCGAAGTCGTACCTAGCTGTTTACAGAAAAAATGTTGAAAGTATTAGACAAGTAGGAACTTTGTTTGTAAACTTCAGATAGCCCTAGAACCCTAGCTGCTTTCATCCACAGAGAGTCATTTTTACATAAGAAACCTTAGCAGCTTGCATCCACAGTTAGTAGTTTTTACAAACAAAAGAAAACTAAAACCCATATTCAGAGCTAGCAATTGGCAAACTTCAAATGCATAAGTTCAAATAAGAAGAATGGAATGTCTATATATGCATGCACTCTGAAATCCCGATCAAACTATAAGTACCTCAATATAAATTATAAAGTAGTAAAGTCTGCAAACAAAGTACAGAAGAAAAGTGAACTAAAATGGTGCAAAACTGTTCTAGAAAATGATGTGAGAAGTATTTGATCATATACCAAATTGTCTAGACATTGAGTTGTAACGACATAAGCTTCATATGATGTTCAATTTAATTCCAACTTTTACGAGTCACTTAAGCATACAAGCATGGACTAACAGCTGTAATAAGAAGGCTCTGCTTTTAAAAAATAAGTTCAGGAAATTACCTTTGCATCCACAATATGACCCATTTGAGTGATTGTATATAGATAGCTCGAATAAAGCATGCATGAGGTAACCAGGCTTCAAGCTGCTTTGGCTTAGAGTAAGACAAAGAGCTACATATGGAACTTTAGTACCAGATTTTCTATGCATTAGGGTCACTTGCAGGGACCTGGTAAATGAATAAAGAGCAGATGACCAACTCAGATGATAACTGAAGACTTAAGAAAACATATAGACTTTTTTAGGGTTTTGTGATTGCTTATTGCATCACTGTAACATGATTTGTGGCTAACTGGCAGTCTAATTACCGCTGTTGATAGATATCTATTTTGTGCCCTCCAACCCCACACACATACTACGACAAGACAAACCAATCATATGTTTAGTGCTGCTTGATGCATTTTTTGATGATTACAATGCATACCATTTGTACCCGCAGCAGTCAAAAGAAGCGGAGCTGGCTGGTATAGCTTCCCTCTCAAATAGAGCTGAGAAGCCATAAATCGTCCATTTGAAAGCTGGATCATGTGCCTTTCCCAGAAGGAAAGGAGCTGAAATTTGCATGTGAGAAATCAATAAAAGCATTGTAGACATATAAAAGTGAGAGAATATGTTCCGAGTATATTAAGTTATAGGTGTATGCTTGGCAACAAATGAATAAACTACAAAAATACAAGGGGAAATAAAAGAAGTAGGATACTTCTCCATATCGAGAAACTTCCAACTATCTGAATCAAAATCGAAAATACATTTATTTGTGATCTCTGATTCTGAATTACCATGATAAATGGTTACTTAACCAACCATGCTTTAAAAAGAAAAAAATATAGGAAACCTCTTTCTCAAGGCATAATATGTTCATGCAAGTCTCTAGAGATAGGAGGACAACTAATCCTATAGAAAAGGGTAATTTGTAAAGTATATCACTTTTTTCTTTGTAGCAGTGTAATAGTTATGTTGATCACGCATAATCATAAACGGTAGGCAGAAGTGCAGATTTTTTTTTAACAAATTTGTGTTTCCCTTTTTTCTTATTACAAAGATGTGCAGTTCTCCTGTGTGTGTGTGTGTGTGTGTTTTAACATAATTGGCAGGTGCACTGCCTTTTCATTCAGTAGGAAGCAAAGTTTGGATATTTACAAATGGTTGAGAAAAAAGTAAAAAGAAAACTGAATAATATAGTGACTAGCTATCAGTACTCTCCTGTGTGTTCGAGATTCTTTTTGTGCTATCTTTGTTTATACTAAGAATTACCTCAATTCCATCTATTTGTCTTCATAGAAGATATGAATCTAAAATAGAAATTGACCAAAAGGCGACAGCACCATGGTCAAGTAGTATATTCTAGCACAGTAATTCAAGCAACAGGCAACATAACTACACAAGGTCAAGAGGAGTTCTTACAGGAATCAGCAGTAAGGCAAGAGTTGCCTGAATCATCTCTACCAGTTCCTTTGCTCGGGAATCCACTGCACGAGTTGCCCATATCTCTACCACTTCCTCTTCTCGGGAGTCCACTGCAACAGAGATAAGCCATCGTGATTCATGAAACAAGTAGATAAAGCAGAGCCAAGAACTTTAAGAATCTTTGAATGTCGACAATCAAGAACTTTAAGAATCTTCATGGTAGTGTTAGTGTAGAGTGTAGATTTAAATCTAGGCATCTACCCAGACCACGGAAATTTGGAATACTAGAGAGAAAAAAGAGGAGGGGTGAAGAAAAAGAACAGGTTGATTAAAACACATTTATTTTTTCCTTTAAAACATTGAACATAAACTCTCATAAAAAAGAAGACGAAGAACCAAGATCTCCAGTTGCGACACTACATAATTTTCAAGTTCTTTACCCACTTCCACAATAACAGATCGACCTGAGACCACGACGGCAGTTCATAATGCATCAAAACCACACAAGCAGCAAACTTTCCTAGGGATTCAAGGAAGAAACGACGAGAAAGAGAGGAATTCGAGCAAACTTTCTTAGGGATTCAAGGAAGAAACGACGGGAAAGAGAGGGATTCGAGCGACATTGATCTCACCTCGCTATGCCGTCCGGCGGAGGTCCGGGCTTGGAGCAACGTAGCAGGAGGGTTTTGTGCGCAGATGAGATGAGCAGGGGCTGCTGCACCCTTTTAACACAAGGGAGGGGCAAGGATGACATTTCTAACTGAAGGACAGGTGGCAAAATGCCATTGGATAGGTCAATACCAGAAGAATTACGGAGCATATCCAATTCTAAATTCTAAATGCTTATCTTTTTGTTTTTTGTTTTCTTTTTCTTTTAGATAACGGAAAGAGTTCCGGCTTCAAACTTCTTCAAAGAAGAAGCATCAGACAAAGTATTACAAAACACGCACACTTCAAAGTTTCTGTTTTGGACAAGCAAGAGAACGTGAGGACCAATATTCACAACTTTTTGCATGTAATATTGGTTCTTATCCCTTTCTCTACTTGGCAATCCCAATGGTCTTTAGAAAATTGAATAACAAAGATTAGAAAATGATTGAGGATAGGATTGAGAAAAAGAATTAAGCAATTGGAAGGGTAAACACCTATCATAAGGGGGTAGGCTAGTGTTAATAAATTATGTTCTGTCTAGTTTACCCATATTCATGTTGTCCTTTTTTTGAAATCGCAAAGGAGATTCTTAAAAAGATCAACTATTACAGCTCGAGGTTCTTCTGGCAGAATGAGCAACACAAGAAGAAATATAGACTAGTTAAGTGGTCTATTTTGTGCCAACCTAAGGAACAAGGTGGTTTGAGTATACAAAACCTAGAACTACAAAACAAGAGTCTTTTAAGTAAGTGGCTCTTTAAACTTTGTAATGAAAAAGGGATGTGGCAAAATTTTCTTAGGAATAAATACCCTAAAAATAAGACTTTAAGCCAAATTGAGAAGCGTGCTGGAGTTTCCCATCTTTGGGCAGATTTGATGGGGGGTCAAAGATCAATTCCTAAATTTAGGAATGTTCCATCTTAACAATGGAACACAAATAAGATTTTGTGTAAGATAATTGGTTGGCTCCCAGAGCTCTGATGTTCAAGTATCCAAATTTGTTTAACGTTGAATGGTAGCAGAGGTGCTCAATGCTAACCCTCTCAATGGGTTTTTCAGACAAGCATTAGTTGGAAACAAGCTAATGGAATGGCACAATTTAGTTGCAAGAGTAGCACACATTAATTTGAATGACAACAACAATAAATTTATCTGGTTGCTCAATAGAAATGGCACATTCTCTGTAAGTTCTATGTATAGATACCTAATCAATAGCGGTGTAAAGATTATGCAGGACATTTGGCGTATGAAAGTACCTCTAAAAATAAAATTTTCCTTTGGTTCCTTAAGAAAGGAGTGATTCTTACCAAACACAACCTTACTAGGAGAAACTGGAACGGTAGCAAGAAGTGCTGCTTTTGTAGTAAAGCTGAAACAATTCAACATTTGTTTTTGAGTGTCATTATGCCCGTTTTCTTTGGCGTATTGTTGAAAGGTCCTTGTTTGGTTTCGGTAATTGAGTGACAACCTTAGGTGGACTAATATGTGTTTGAGTGAGATACACATGTGATTAGTCCACAAGTACATGTGTGTGAGCAATACTTGCCATGGAGGTGAAATGGCTCGGAGATGTTGCAAAGCTCACACATGTGATGAAGGAGCTCACTGCATATGAGACATGACATTGAATCATGTGATCAAGGTAGAGAAGATCAAGACATAACTTGGCTCGAAGGACCGGTTGCAAGTGTGAAGGGCAAGTTGAGTGATGACTTGGCGCCGATGGACCGAAGCAACGGTGAAGAGTAAGTGAAGTCAAGATCGATGAACCAATATGGTCACGTGATGATATGGAGTGGATCATATCATTGTTGATCATGTTGATGTATGTGTTGCATCGACATTGGAGGAGATGGAATGGAATGCGCAAGGCAAAGGTATAACCTAGGGTATTTCATTTCACCGGTCATAGGTGTGTAGAGAAGTTGATGACCGGGTTTAGGATAGATGGCCGTACTATCAAGAGGGGCGAACTTGTTTGCATATCGGTCATCTAGTGCCACTTGAGTAATCTAACTTTGCATCGTTGCTAGGATCAAGTGGCGTGGCAAGTTGAGTGGCTAACTCCTTAAAAATAATTGTGAAAATGCTAACACACATACACATGGTGGTGTACACTTGGTGGTGTTGGCACATTTGCAAAGGAGAAAGAAGTTGGGGTTGAAACGGATCAACTCGGCGAAGAAACGGAGGTGAGGAAGTGTCACTGTGAGTGACCGGATGTGGCCCTCGGTGGGACCTACGCGTCCGATCAGTGCTAGCACTCGTCCGAGGGGCACGAGTTGGGACCGGACGCTGGCCCTGGTATCACCGGAGCGTCCAGCCACCTTTTTTAAGGGCGGCATGTTGGCACGAACGGACGCGCAGGGGCTGAGTCCGGTGGTTGCTGGCGTACGCTGACGCAGGCAGGCGCAAGAGGCCAGAGAGGATCGGATGCACCTGTGCGTCCGGTCACATGCGAACGGACGCGTTCGATCATGTTTTGGAGGCTCTAGGAGCTCTCTGTTGTTGACCGGACGCTAAGGTGTGGTGAGTCCGATCAAGCTAAGCAGCGCGTCCGATCGGTGGATGAAGGCACGCGCGTGAGGTAGCCATTGGCGGCAACGGCTATTTCAAACAGCTAGTGCCATGTGGAGGTGGTACAGCGACCGGACGCAGGGACCGGCGCGTCCGATCACTTGGACCTACGTGTCCGGTCGCCCCGAGCTGTGCCCAGTGAAGGAGTAACGGCTAGTTTAGCCCGTGGGGCTATAAATAGAAGTGTTGGCCGGCCCTTGGCTGGTTGCTGAGTACCCTTGAGCCTTGGTGGCTTGTATAGGTGTGCTTGGGAGCCCTCTAACTCACTTGAGCTTGATAGTGTTTATCCGATCGAGTGAGTGAGTGATTCCAGTGCGATTGCATCGTGAGGTTACATCGAGTGGCACTAGGTGTTCGAGTTGTAAACCGGTGGTGCTTGTTACTCTTGGAGGTTGCCACCTCCTAGACGGCTTGGTGGCTTGCGACTCTATTGAAGCACGCGAGAAGATTGTGCGGTGCTCCGGAAGAGGATTTGTGAGGGGGATTGTGCTCACCCCGCGGGGATCGCGAAGAGCAACTCTAGTTGAGCGTGTCATTGAGCTACCCTCACTTTCAGGGTAGATTCTTGCGGTGCCCGACGTGCGGGCTTGGCGGGTGATGCCAATTAGCCAACGAACCACCAAGTGAGTGGTCAACACAACGGGGACATAGCTTGGTGGCAACCAAGTGAACCTCGGGAGAAAATCACCGTGTCAACATTGTTTTCATCATCTTCTCGGTGGTTTGCATTCCGCGAAACATAAGCTTGTATTACTTTCATATAATTTGTACTTGTGTAGTTTTTCTTGTGACTAGTTTAGCTTTAGTAGCTTGCTAGTTGCCTTCTTGCTTGTGTAGCAATGAAGTAGCTTCCTTGCGTGGCTAATTTGGTTTTAGTAACCTTGTTAGTCATATTGCTTAGTTTGTGTAGCTAAGTATTTTACGATCTCTAATTTGGCTTGTGTAGCCTTGATATTGAACATTGCTAGTGAGCTTAGGAGCTTTGTGCTTTTGTATCACTAGTTGTGTAGGAGCTCTCTCGGTTGCTTGAGTACTAGTGCATAGGTTTGTGTGACATTGCTCTAGAATTGTTTAGGTGAGCTCTAGCTAGCCCGACACCTTTGTTGCTTCTTTAGGATCTTTTTAAGGTGCTTGTGAATTTAGATAGAGGGGTGTAGTCTTGGCTAGATCGATAGTTTTAATTCCGCATTTATTACGGTTAGCCGATGCGATATATTTTAGAAAGGGCTATTCACCCTCCCTCTAATCCGCCATCTCGACCCTACACTTGTGTATTATGTGTTTGGAATTAAACAACCAAGACATTCTCCATTTTTTTAACAGTTGGTCACACAATCAATTGTTATTGATAGGAGGGACAGCTCTGTGTTGGGCAATTTGGCTCACAAGAAATGACTTGTGTTTGATAAATGCACCCTTCTGCAGGGACTCTTCAGAGAGACGCACTGGCTCAGGTCGTGGGCTCTATTGCCGCGCTCGGATGACAACAAGAGTGCATGTTAATGGCGTTGTAAAATCCTGGAGTCAAGAGCAATGAGCTTCTTTGCCACTAATGGCTGGTCATTTACTATTCGTATTGGACTCTAGTGTTGTGCTTGTAATATGTTTTTTGTTTTCTGGAAAGTAAAGAATACACAGACGCTCATGTGTACTGTACATACTGTGAACGCATGTATACATATTCGACCCTTATTACCTACATCTGCGTTGAGTCACTACAAGCGTCCATGTCATTTCTTTATGGAATAAATTTTAGAAAATTATGAGCACTTGTGTAAGATCTAATACTTGAACTCGGATGGATAAGTAGATCCCACCACAAGAAACCAAACATTGAGCTATCAGTTTTGCAAATGTAGGTCATTTAAGGATTCTATCGGTTAACCTTTTACACCTATGCCTCAAATATATAAATAGTTATATAGCTTCACAACCAATATGATTTCTTACTATATTCATAAAACTAATAAGAACACCCATATAGAATAAACAAACAAATATACCCAACTCACACCACCTACTCTAGGAAAATATTCTCTCTCAAAATACAAGCCAATGACCATGGTCTGGACCAAAGCCTGAGACAAGGGCAATTAGGGTATAAAATGCCCTTTGCTCCAGCTAGGCCCTAGAGTCTCATATCCTCGCAAACATATGACAAGAGACCTATGAGATCCGATGCAGCCCTTTTAAAGGCACAACAGTTACACAAATCTCTAAGGGGGTATACTATAAAATATATTTTGATAGTTCATTCATTTGATACTATAGATGTCAACATATGTTTCTAAAAACTTGGGCAAATTTAAATAACCTTTTTGTTGAAAGAATCAGGAGAAAAAGACTACCAATTATATTAGAAAGAAGAAATGACTAAAATAGGCAATACAACAGAGCAACTAACTCAAACTACTGACAACAGATGGTTGGACTGAGACCTCAACATGTGCTGAACAAACTACCCACAAGGACACAACACTGCTCCACTCAAGCACCACAACAGGGGCACTAAGTTAGATAACTTTG